AGGTCTTATCAAAACCCCCAGCTGGAGTCGAACCGTGATAGAGCAAGGTGAATATAACTATTTAGATGTTCATATTATATCAAAATGGTGTTCCAAGGTCTGAAAGATATACTGACTACAGTGAAATGAAAAAAAACCAACTTTTCCAATGAATTTCACTTAATTCTTTTAAAGCAGCATTTCAAGACTACTACTTAAATCTGTTTCCCAAATAGCTTTCGTATTGGGGTTGGGTTGAGTTGAGTTGCTCGAAGGCGCTTCCCCTTAAGCATGTTAACTAAGATGAGATCGCCTTCTCATGAAACAACGTTATATCGCATGTGTTGTGTGCATGCAATACTCCTGAGTCTCCTGAGGTGTGAGATTTCTGACCAGAGCCCAGACTAATCATGCCTCCTGCCCTTGATTAGCGAGGAGATGGAATGGAAGATGAACTCTCACATAGTTAAGATAAATGCTAAAATAAGGCTAGCATGTATTACAACAAGCGGTAAATGCTTAATAAAGTATATCATTACTTGTGATATATCTCTGGTAATTATATGATGTAATGAACATAATTTAAGAATGTATTTGATTGATGGTTTTGGGACGCAAAATGTCATTTATTATGCAAATTAGCAAAGTGATTTCATAATTTAAATTGATACATTACCTGGTATGCAATTCAGTAATGCCCCTATTTTGCTTCGTGCCCCTCTCCCAGATTCCATAGTCTGGAATACGATATGCCCGTTCTAAGTAGAAAATGAGATTCTGAACAAAGGCCACTTCAGTTTTTGTGTAGATAATCTAAATAAGTCAGTAGTGAAGGAAGAAGAGGCTACCTGTAAACCTGAGCTGATCATTTGAACTAGTTGGAGAACAAAGAGACCAACACAATCCATTTGTAGATGCTTGTAATCATCGTTGTAAATTGGCTCGCCAGTTGAATAATGAAATCGGCTGTGGAGGCAAGTATCAAGGTTTTGAGTCTTTTTGAACTGCTCCAACTAAAATGGGAAAAAAATTATATAGAATAGCAATACCACTCACTCTTGTCGCTTGTCGCATCCAGCCCATAAGGATTGTACGCATGCACTTGACTGCACAGTGACCGAGTTCATAGTTTCGTCCCTCATCATCATCAACACGCCTTAAAAGTAAAAAAGTCAATGTGGAAATTTATATGGGTATTCAAGTGAAGCAACTTGATGTAACCTTTTCAAGCAATTTAAGAATAGATACGAAGACCAAGATTCTGTGGCCTTTATATTGGTCGCAGTCTCCCTTCGATGTATAGTAGTAATTTGACCTTGTTTTCGGAATTTGGTCATTTTGGCAGAAAGACCTAAAGGAATGCACCTAGTCCGGAGTCCATAGTATGTATGATAATATTTTTAAGGTAATGCTGCAACTCGAAGATCTTTACAACACGTGATGCCTATAGAGCAAGTATGAAATGAATTTAATTTAAAAAATCTTATGTAATATGAGGCCAGGATTATGGTGGGAAAATAATATAGGATTCAGATTTATGTGCAGTCATGG